TTTGAATATAAATACTGTGATCTTTAAGATAATAAATTTATAAATTCTTCCACTTACAATATAAATAAGCATATATGATATAGGATTCCATTCCTTTCATGAGAAAACACAGAGAGAAGGGATCGGAAAATAGAGGAGTACAGGATATAGCGAAATATTAGCTATTTTAAATGTATTTTAATTTAACTATATAAATATATTTCAGCTATGGTGTAGAAATTTTGTTAAAAATTTGATATTCACATTAAAAATAAAATAAATTAAACTGAACCAACGAATTGTAAGTAAATTTATTTTTCCTTTATATGTTCACAAATTTGTTTATATTAATGTATATATTAATAACATAATTAAGCCAATATAAATATTTTAATGTTTGTGTTTGAAAAAAATGTTAGATCTTATCTTTAGACTTTTTATGTTTATGACAGAGTTTATAAAAAAAATAAATAAGCATTTTGTATAGGGAAATTTCCTTAGCTTACAAAGGAAACATAATCGGTCAGTTATGTGATTTCAACAGAGTATCTATATAACAGTAACACCATAATAACTAAATAAATTAAATAATGATGAGCTATCGTTCAAAAGTAAACAAAAGCTCACAAATGCTAACATATGAACGCATATCGGCTATCTGTAGGATATAATATTACATATTTTGATACAGTATTGAACTGATATTTTGATATCAACGTAATATATTCAAGATTTGTATGTTATTTTTTATTAATTGAATTTTTTTTCTTTTTAGGTAAGTCTTTACACCGAAACTCAATACTAAATTCAATTGTGGTACCTAAAATCTTGGTGAGTTGTAATTACATGTAAACAGGAAAGTCTCATATAACTCATTGGTCTATCTGACAAAGCAAATATTTTGCTTAATAATAAAAATATTTTTTCCAAAAATGTACTAACCAAACATACAAAAATGCATTAAAAATGTACGACATAATTGAACCATTCTGGAGAACAAGAAATGCGATCCATTAAGGTAAGGATATAATCATATTTTATGTAAAACATTAAATTCCCCACCTATATCAAAGAATTTAGCATTCCTTTTTTTCGTTGGGAGTAGAATACCATAATTTCTCTTCTTCTTTGGGATGGACAGAAACAAATGAAGAGAGAAACAAACAAGAGAGAAAGAGGGAGCGATTTTAACGGAAAAATTTTGTCATCTGTTTCTGTTAAGGCAATATACTCATCAAATATACTCATCCTATAAAACTCTATAACCCTTTTCGTGTATTAAGTTTTTATTAAGCTATTAAGTTTAGAATAAAGTACTTGTGTTACTGTAAAGCTACGCTTTCTTTGTATGGTGACAAAGAAGCTTTATTAAAATTTAGAGGAATTTCGAATAGCAAAGAAAGAAATAAAGGACAAACAAAAAAATTTATTTTAATTTTTATTGAAATTTGGCTGACCATTCAACGCTGTTTCGAGTATTGCCAAGTACTCTTCATCAGTGGTCTTTGGAATAATCGAGTTTTTATTTAATTAGTTTATAGTCCGTATATATTAAGTTTATCATTATTATTTAGTTTAAATAGTCAAATTTTCTTTTCTATTCTATTGTTGAAAATGCACAATATCAATATTAAACTCTTCTTCTGAATGAAGTGTAAATGATATCAGCAAAGTCAATTAATAAAAATCAAGTAAAACTTATAGCAGTACAGAGAGATTCACTACTGGATGAAATTCATGGATGAATTGATATTTTAATGATAGCAGATGTGGATCGATCAAACAATAGAAACAGCAACTACTATTGGAGTCTATCACAATGACTGTTGTAACAGGTTCTATAAAATAACGTTTGATATTCATTGAAGTTTTAGACACTAATAATATAACAAATATATAGATCATATTGTTACTGGATAATAAAGCAATTATTCAGGGTTAATTCATTTCTTGATTATAAGCTGAGAGAATCTGAAAGTTAATGGACAACTGTTACGTTATCTTCGTAGAAATTGATTTATAAAAAACATGCAATACATACCAGTGAAATACGCGTGTGAAATCACATTGAATAGTTCCTATATAAATCAGAGTTTGAGGGGCATCCGCTATTAAAACATCATATTCTTAAGGTTTTTAAAAGAAAGCTCACATACATACTTAAAAAAAATGCGTTACATCAAAACAGTTTTTTAATAAATCAAAATAATGACTCTACATAATAGCTGTCAGCAATTATTATGTACGAGAAAACATAGTGAAAAACTGAGCGCACTTAGAATTTATTTGCTTATGTATATGCCAGCAAATAGTATTCTACTTCGGAACTAGAAGTACTGAGGATCAGTTTATGGAAGCCAGCTAATACGTTAGTTAAGCCTATATCATAATTCTCTATGCTATCACCACTCATAAAATCTATGGTAGAATTGTGCTACTGTTGAATGTTATTTAAAATTAACTCAAGGTTCCAAACGTGAAAAAGTTCCATAGAACTCCGAAAGCAAATTTTTTATTTATACACAAAACAGATATTAAATTGTGATTAATACTAAATTATGTCAATATAAAGTTAGTAACTTAATTATTTACAATGAAAATGTAATATAATTTATATTCTCTCTTAATTTGTATATAAAATAAATTGAATATCAATAGAACTGCATTGTGGTATATGGGACCCGGTTATAACATAATGTGGATGTCGATTTTTCATTAATTTCATTTCCATACTATATTAGTCTATAGGTATATATTATATTACTTGAAAGAAATAAACCAATATCCCAGATTGGTAAATAAATGGTAGTGTTCTAAACAGTTAGAAATGTTGGATTGTTGTGTTTAATTTGAGTAACGGTTACCCGTTTATGAACTACAGAACTAATAAAACTAATCGGATCAAATTGCATTAAAACTGATTTAGTGGAAATATATTTCTTACGGTCATTAAACGGAATGCAACAACTGGCATTTCTCTATTTTTTGTTTTTTTTTTACTTGCCATCAGCAAAATTTAAATCTGTCACAATCACTTTTTCCTCATTTCCAGAAAACTTCAGGTCACAAATACCATGGAAGGAAATTCTATTTCATTAAAGTAAAGACTGTTTTCTCTATTGCAGCTTAAAAGTAATTTGAAAAAAATAAAAATAAAATACCACATTCAGCGAAAAATTTTATGTAAATTAAATTTTTTTTTCGTTTTTGAAATTTTTGCTTTCCATTTCCTTAAGAAAAAATAAAATTAAGTGGCACGTAAAATAAAATGAAATTAGTACGTCTCAAGTGTTTCGGAGGAGAACATGGAGCGGCGCTGATTTTTTATGTTTTAACTTTTTACGATTTTTCTACGCCTTCATTCGCCTTGGAATTTGGGGCTTTACTGAATATTTGCGCGTCAAATTTAACACCTTTTGGATAAGGGGCTGGGGATGGTTTAAATGTGATACCGTGAAAAAAATCTCAAAGTTACTTAAAATTTGAAGTCTAAAATCATTAACAAATAATTTAAGAGATTTGGCTTACAAAAGGCGACATGCTGTTTTTGGGTTGCTTTAAAAGTGTTAAATAAGGCAAAAGTGTTTGAAATAGAGGTAAGAATGGTTTAAATCAAATTTATTACTTCAAAAAATTGACCAGACAACAGCTGCAATTACAACTCTAAATTGTTTTCTTTTCTAAACAAAAAAAAAAAATAAATAAAATAATATGATGTTAATTTTTTTTGTCGAAAGTGCCACATCTTATGACGAAAAAAAAACTATTAAAAAGTTAAAAGGGTTCGAATAGAAATGAAAAGACAACAACAGAAATTTTAGTTAATTTTTTGAAGTTTGGCTGACCATATAATGCTGTTTCAAGTACTTAACATCGTTGGTCTTACAAAATATAAAGTATTATTTTACAAATCTTTACTAAATTACTCTTAAACGTCAGTTGGGAAATTTGTTAAAATTGATTTTGTTCGATACTGTTTGCTTTAGATACAATGTTGCGCACTCTCAGAAAAATTATTTGGTTGGTTTGACTAAATCTTAGGTTAAAATATTCTTACTCGACGCATTATATTGGTTCAACTATACTATATGATGGTTTTCACATCTTCTTTACCACATGAGCTAAAACTTCTCTAACAAAATAATCAGGTCAATGTAACTAGTGTGTGGTTAAAGCATATTTTTCTGAGTGGAGTGAAGAAATTATTAAAATATATTGAATCAATTTAGTCTATGTTTTGCGCATTACTTAAAATTTTTGTCAATGTAATTGACGCAAGGAGCCCACTTTCCATACTGTTAATACAATTCGGGTCAAAATGTGGAGTTTCTACTTTAGAGAAATTAATGTTTTATATTAATTTAAACATATATAATATATATACATATGTAATGGTTCAAATATACATATATGCCACGATCCAATACGCGCATGAACATAGAGAACAATTCATTACATGTCGATCTTGAGAAACTGGGCTTTTTCACGGTGACATATAAAACTTTTGTAAAAAGAAATTGCACTTCGAGGCATACAAAATTAAAACTTCAATTGTTCTAAGAGCTCGAATTTGGAAATCACTTACTGCTTACAAATTTTGCAGATTGGATTTTCGAGTAACTATTCGCACCACTCATGACGCACATTTAATTTTATAAATATTGACAGTTGCGAATAATTGATGGACCTTTGATGTAATTGGACCATACTTCTTTAAAGGAAAAAATGATGTTGCTGGTATTGCTAATTAAATATGTTACAGAACCGTAATTAAGGAATAGTCATGGTTTGAAATAAAACTAGATAATTAAGAATCTTACATTAAATCACTTTTAACTAAAAATGTCTTGAACTACCTTTTTCTATAGCTTGCATTTGAAGACGCTTTACAAATGAAAATAAAAACTTCAGAATAAATTTAATTTTATATTACTTATTCAATTAATCGATTTTTCCTTAAAAAATATGAACGAAAACATATCCTAAGGGTACCTAAAGCTTCTTTAAAATTTGTCTAAAAATTCATTGTGCATAAGTCTTGTATTCAAAATATATTATTGCCCATACAACAATCTATATAAATAATAAATTTCTCAATTGATTCATGAAATTACTTGTAACTTTGAACATGGCATATTTATCTCCATAATTTCGATCGGGCAGACTATCGTAAACTAACATCAAAGTCTGTCCCTTTTGCATAATACGCCGGGACAAAACATACACAATTCCAAGCAGGAACTGCTTATAGACTTCATTGTAATATGTTTGAGTGGGATCGCCAGGATAGTAATACATAGTAATACGGTGGAATATGGATATATATTTTCCAATTGACCTTGTTTTAGTTATTAGCAAAATGGGAACATTTGGTCGGAAATGCGATATGTCAATAGCAAGACGGCCGGCTGGAGAGCAAACCAATATAGCGGCTATGTCACTTTCAAATGAGGCAATTGCACAATTGCGGGCGAGAGTATCACCACCAAAGTCGGATTCATCTGTAAATGGTTCTTGACATAAAATTTCGCGTGCCACTCTTTTAAACATAGGTCTATGTAACATGTGGAAGTAATTGAGGAAGCACTCCTCTCCACTTTTGATGATATATTTGTCTGGATAGTAAAATATATATTCACTGTATTCCGTGCCTACAATATAAAATTTATTTGCAATTTGTGATGGTTCAAAGAGTATTGGTTTTTTCAGTTCATAAATGCGTTTCAGAAAGTTTACGGTAGCAGGGCACATTTCTAGGAGCTCACCACTATTTTTTTCACAATCTTGATGTAATTCTATCAAGAAACCATCATAACAGTCTGCCACCCAGAGTATTTCATCAGTGCAGCCATGTAAACTGTTAAGAACAATGCGTACACACAAAAGCATGTTGCCACAGTCCAACAAACTCATGCAACGTCTCAAATCAGACAAATATCGCTTTGATCCATGAATATAGCTCACGATTACGTTTATGCCTACTTCCTTGCAAAATGTTATATCTTCAATTTCTTCATATGACATTCGATATTTGCTACATTTTTTTGGAAAAAGCACTGGCATGCGTGAATTTAATTGTCCGCCCTCAACCACTTGACAGAAGAGTTGAAACCTTTGAGCTTCCTTTACGCAAAGCTGTATTTGGTAACCAATTGGAATAAAATCGCAAGCTTCCACATCACCGAGTAAAAAGCGAGCGTTCACGTAAATGATATTCCTAGTGCATTTCGTGGAATATTTCCGATTTGTTGTCAAAATGACTGTATCATCCTTATTTAAGATAATTTCCGCATCCAGTGGGCAAATAAATCCAGTGTACTGCATACGCGGAGAAATTCTGGCAACAAGCGTGGTTATGACAGGACTATTAAATTGACTAGAAATTTCAAGCTCCACTTCATGTAAACGCAGGAGCAATTTCTGATTTGCTTGTGAGGTGCCCTTCGATAGATCAATAATGAAGCAACGTATTCCGGCATCTGCAAATATAATCGATACAGACATAATCAAAATGAACTCGTGAAATTATGTTTTGTTTTTGAGCTGCCTATTGTGTTTATAGTACCTATATTGCTAATTTTTTTGGTGATATTTTACTTACGTGTATAATGAAATAAATCCTCTTTTGTGTCGCAAAGTGACAATTCTACGCAGGATTTTTCAAACCCAGTTTTGCACGTAATTACTCTGCTTAGTATCTCGTAGCCTTTGAAATAGCCTTGCCAAGTGTCCTGATAGAAAGTCAAAGAACATTCTGAATAGGTGGATTCAGTTTCAAATTCAAACTCCTCATCGTAAAATTCACTCTGATCCTCCTCTTCCTTAAGAGAATCACTTTCAGTTAAACTATATAGTTCTCTATTATAGAAAGGCTCATAATTGATTCTGGTTTTTTCTGTCTTCTTTTCTACATCTGTGCATTTAATTGTCTTACAAGCTCCTTCAACTATGTCGATATCATCTCCATCCTCGGCGACTTTATTGTCCATTGCAAAATTTTTATATTTTATGCTGAATTCTGCTAAATAAATTGTGCGATTTGTAAAGTTTTAAAATCTCACTCACTAATTTTGTTTTACTTAAGAAATTAAAATTATTTAAGCGTATTTTTTTATAAAAAAAAAAATAATTGCTAAAGTTTAAGTGTTTTATTATATTATGATTAAAACATCAACGTTTGCTAAACCAAATATAATCAATAGTAATCAAAAGTAATCAACAAGTATTATTAAGTGGAAACGTGTAGATATATTTGTATTCAGAAAACTAATTGGGAAACCTTAATAGATCCATAGAAATACTTTACCAATGCGATCAAACCAAATTAAACAAATATAAATGTTGAGGACAGCCGAACTGATGATTTGCAGCAATTTATACATCATCCTATTAAAATATTTCATGACAATATCATCAGGAAAGTAGTTCCCGTGGTCAAATGCTTAACACTGAAATGTGAATCTATGGTTATTTAATTAAATTGCACCACAAACTTAACCTGTCTGTAGTATATAAGAAGAGGTTTATGAACACCAAATGTAAATAAATATAGAAAATATACACTCACACTACAAAGTTTAAATAAAAATCTCTCCGTTGTGAAATATTGGTTTATATTTTTGTAACAGAATCGATATCTCGCAGAATTCAAACCTTTTTTTAAATGATTGCACCTCAGAGCATTCATTAAAGGATTCCTAACAGTACAGTGCCTGGAGCTGAAGCTGAAGAAAAAAATATATAATTGGAGATATTTGTAACCGTAGATAAAGAAAATAATTCTTAGTTGAAAAAGATATTAGAGATCAATATATGGTAGAATTCAGTTCAAAAGTTTATTGTCATTGAATGGAAATTAACTAATATTGAAGATATTTCACGTTCAATAAGCTGCACTAATATTATTTTTCTTTATAAGTGGAAACAATTAGCTTCAGTCTCTGCGATTTTTATATTCCATTTTCATTAAAGAAACTCATGGATTTACTAAAAAGAGTTTAAATAAATGGTGCCCGGACCTCAAATAGTTTATGTAGTAGCATTGTCATATTATGTTGCACTTACTCGTATTTAGCAGTTATGCTACAAAATATTTTTATGGTTGACTTTTTTTGTCGATTGTGACGTATATTATGACGAAAAGAAAACTAGGAGGGTTCGAACAGTAATAAAGAAACAACAATAAAAATTTGATTAATTTATTGAAATTTGACTGACTTTACAACGCTGTTTCGAGTATTGTCAAGTACTCATTATCAGTGACCTTAAAAAATATTGGAATTTTCATTTAATTAATTATAGTTCGTACATTAATTCTTGGACTGCAAGTGCTGGGCTTAGAGCTCGTATCAGTCAAATTAGAAACGATGACTAATCGTGTTTTTCCACGATCTATATTTTTATTTACTATAAAATAAATGCTTATGACTTACATCGGATTCATCAAAAAAGGAAATTTTTGGAATGGAAAAAGCACGAAATATAAATTCTTTTATTAAAAAAGTTGATTAGAAAAATAATTAAAAAATGTCAACAACATCAAATATTTTTCATATCGGTTTACATATGTGCAGTTTTCCATAAAAAGTACATTTTAATCCTTATTCCATAGAAGTGTACATGAACTTCATACGTTCTTTATAATACAAAAAATGTCTTGACTTTTATTAATGCCGAGTGTACTTTAAAAGTAATCCAAGGTGACTTTCTGCTTACATATATATGTCAGAAAATTTGTATTTTGCAATTTACAAAAGCAATAAACAGTAACACCCAAATGTATTTAAATAATGTCCTGCGGACATTTTCGTACCAAATCGGTAAACCGAATCGCAAGTGTGAGCAAGATTAAAGTTTGCATCAGTAAAGGAGGAATGCTTGCAATTTTTTATATTCTCTCCCAAGTACAGATATACATGTTCACGTAAATCGAGTCAGCAATTGACGGACAGACATACAGACGAGAGGTGAACAAATACTCGTTGAGTAAATGAAAATGCATTTATTTATAAAGCAAACGACAAAAATCCCTCCTGACATTCGGTAAAAATGCAAAACTGCAGAGCTGCACTTTTACATATGCGCAACGATACATTTAATACACAAATACAGGGTGCCCATAAACTATTATTGTCATGGACTATAACTAATGTACCGAAATATTGAAGTTATTGTATGAAGTTATCTTGAAAATGCAAAAGACACTTCATTTATTTTAGTTTTGAGCTATTTTAGCCACTTTTCATTATTGAAATTCGGATCATCTTTCAAAAAATTGTTGCTAAATAGATAAACTCATTATACTGAAAGACACTGAACTCATGCCGCATCCTGTATGCACTGACAGTGCATTAGCATTTGTGCATATATGCACTGCAGTTTCGTATTGCACAAAATCTTTTATGGGCTTTTACTCTTGTTGCTGGTGCAATTTAGTGACATGAGCTCCTCATACAGTACAAAATTAAAGATACTAGAGAATTTGTTTATAGAAATTGCACAATATCTATTGATAGAGTCTATGCGTGGGCGTTTGTGTAACAATGTTTATTTAGATTTTGTTGGCAATTGCTGACATTTCAAAAATTTTCTTGTTGCCTTTATTATCATTGTTGGTATATGCATACCAGCGTTGCGCCCGGGAACTCTGGCAGGTCCACACGTGCACACACACGCCAGGACACGCAGCCAACCGCACTTGCTTCCACTCACGTAGTTAGTTAAGCATTTTTGTTAGCTTAACAACAAAAATTTTGGCATTTTAATTTAGAATTGTCAATTGGATTTCAGAGAATTTCCAGTATGAAATGTGCTTTACGCTGAAACTCTACTGCGAGACGATAAGGATCAGGAGTAAAATTGTCAATTATTTGGGGAAAATTTTGTACAAATTTTCATTTAAAGATTTTTTGTTGCTCTTATATTATTTTGGACGTAACAATTTATGTCAAGTTGAGCACTGGACATGCACAAGAGTGAACATTTACTGGACCATCATTTATATACGATATTTAATATAAATTTTCCTCTTAAGAATAATTGCTTGAAAAGAAAAACTAAATAAAGTTTAAAAATTTTTAAATTTATAAAAGTGTTAAAAAATTACTTTTATATTAAATCTTTATGGAGTTAAAATTATTTACATAGACAACTAGTTTTACCAATAATTGTTTTCGCTACTTTAATTATGTTAAACAGATTTATCTGAAAGCAGAAGAAAGCGTACTTTGTAACAAATACAACAAATAACAAATGTAACAAATATCAGAAGACGTTATGCGCAGATAAGATAAGATAAGAAATATACAAAACACTGGATCCGTAAACGGAGTAGAACACTACGTTCATAGTTGATTTTTTGTGCTGCTATAGATCCTCGCCAAATAGAAAACATTCTGCCTGTCTAATGAAAGTCAAAATGTCAATAACCTCAAAGTCGAGAACTGAAAAGTAGTTCTCGATCCAGTAATTTTCACCTGGCCCAGATCAAGGCAGGATAGTCGTAGGGAATGTGATTGGAAGTTTCTTTTACTTCTAAGCAGAGTCGACAATCTAACTTTTCGGTGACCCGTTCAATATCTCACCAGCTACCTCAACTCTGTTCTGATGAGGAAATATACTTTACCGTAATTATTAGAATGGACCAGCTCTTTAGCCTGACGGTTACCCGAAATCTCGCGCCAGTAGCTATTTCTTTCGGTTGAAAAGCGTTTTTCAATCAGAGACCTAGCTGTAGACAAACTTAAACCACAATATGGCTCCGGTTCACAGAATTAAATGGCAAATCCTGTCCTTGCAAGATTGTCCGTAGACTCATTTCCATTGATTCCTATGTGTAACTATGCACCCAGCAAAGCATCATTTTTTTGTTTTTACTTAACAGCTGCTGCAGCGTATCATAGCGTCATAACTGCAGCGTCTTACAGTAGCTTTAAAGAAAACTTCCAGGAAGATATTGTTTTGATTTCTTCTTGACTATTTGAGTAAATACAGATACGGGTGCATTTCAACCCATTACTAATGTTAATCTGAAGACATATAGTCTGTAAACTTCAGTTTAAATATTTGGTTTAATATGGTAAGAAACAATTGTGAAAATGAGGAAAAACATAACCAAAACTTGTAAACAGTGCCCAAGAAGCGATTGAGATATGCTTAAATTGACTACCAATCTTTTAACTTAACTATCTACTGACATGAATTATTCTGCATAAGCATTGACAAAATAAATCTTAACTTTATTTCAGACATTGAATTTGTTTATTACTCTGATTTCAGACCGGATGTGTAAATGCTTGCTAATAATTCCTAATACATGCAAAAATTTACACATGTAAACTCGAAGGAAGCAATTAAATTCGAAATAAATAATTTTCGTAAATACTTCATATTATATATTGCATAAATGTTCGTTTATTTGATAACTAATATTCCGTAAATATTTTCATTGAACAAAAAAAAATACCATTTCATACACAATTAGTACCATAACCTTAAAAAAAATAAAAAAGAAGCGGAAAACTAATTTGTACCAGGGAAACGCGTAACACAATTGACTCTTTTTACCATTCATGATTCCCTCAGTCCCCCCTCATACATAATCGTGGCAAGGAAACCGTAACGAATCACATTTAATTTTACCTGTTCGTCACGAAGTAACGCCGGCGAACTTTGAACCCGGCATTGAGCAAATCCTATTCAAGCCAATTCAGTCCTAAATCAACGCATTTCGTACTATCGCAATAAACGCATCCTTACGTATCGCACTGCACACATGGATAATTTATTTCGTTTCATTTTCCTTTCATTATTTCATTATTCGTATTTTTCATTTTGGAATGGTTCTTTTTTTTGCATTTCCATTTTACATTTTAACTTTTTATTTTTTATTTATTTCCTTCTTCATTCTTAACTTTTTGTTCGTAAATTTTAATTTAAATTTTATTCCCAGCAATAATAAAATAAATTCATTCCTGCACGCATCATAAACGAGTTCAACTGCCTCGAATCTGACTATATCGCGCATCGTCTCTCGCCGCACCTCACCGCTTACAGGATAATAACACTTCCACAAATATGAAAGAGGCACGTAAAGTC